CAACTACACTGTGAAGTTGTTTCCTGAAAAATATTAACTCTTAAAATCTGTATAGTACCTATGACATAATAATATGTATATGATATTAATACCACCAATAATWTTGCTGTAATATATCTCCAATAGCTTCGAGTGCAGATCATGCTCGAAATATTAAATATAATAAAGTAATGACATTATTGCGACGATATTATGATGAAATCACACATATATAGCAATCCGATGGGTGTTCATATATGCATGTGCAGACGTGCTATATAATTTGAGAAAGAGATTTTCCTCGTGCTTTCCGGTTTCCGTATATGACTCGGACAAATGTTATTAATCGCGTTTCTTGTAATTATCTTCCTCGTTGATACTATTGATATTCAGCTTGTAATGTTTCCCGGTTCATAAACATACTATTTTCAAAAATGTACAACCAATATAGTACATAATATAAATACATATTATAGCTTAGAGCACTTAAAAAATCAAAAATATACCTACCTAACATATATAGGTAAATAGTATCCCTATTGTCACCGTTCTATAATGTATTATTAATAAAGATAGTATTTGTATTGCGTTGTTGGATGAAATGTAATACTGTGGWCGGTGTCCTTCTAGATTTGTAACGTGTGATGTTCACATATCGATGTAGAATGCTATAGTAAAAATTTACAGTACGATAGGGCGTGCTCGAGTGGAAAARAATTGACAGCTCACGGGGTTCACGCATAAATTATAATCGGAAAACAATAATATGTACGTCGATCGGTTTAAAGTACCTATATAAATATTTGTGTGTGTGTGTGTGTGTGTATAAGAATACGCGTCTTTGCGGGTGCAGAAATATGATTAGTATTAGATACATAATATACATTTATCTTATGCATACCTATAAATAATATAATGTATTAAATTATATGCACTGAGACGAATTTCGTCCTTGCGGGGAACACGGTGTGATGCAGACACAAAAACCCGGCCACGCATAATATAACGTATATATATAGGTGACCATATTATGATAGGTGTATAATAATAATATATATTATATTTTATACTATTGCCCGCGTAMATTATATTATTATCGCAGTTTATATACCTATAATATATTGTGTGCACTGCYGCGACCGTAAAACGCATAATTAATTCGATCGCGGCTAATTGCACGCGATAGATAAAACGCAGATAATATGGATTTTTGTGATTGAATTAACATATAAATTAGCAATAGTTCGTACGCGGCGCGTAGGTCACGACGGCACTGCGAAACGTGTTCGAGGCGGCGCTCAAAATATATAATAATTAYAACGATAATAATAATATAATAATATATCGGCATTTATGTGATTTTCGTCGAGCTGTATCTCTGCCGGTCACGGTGGTTCGCCCAGAGCTCTRCGGCAGCCGGATCGAGTGGCATGTATAATATATACTGCGCACATAATATTATGCCTATACACCTACAAGCATGTACGTAATAAGATRATAATATGTACATGGATTTATATTTCTAAAGTAATACAATAAAAACCAATAAGTTCAGTGTCGGACTCCGATCCGTTCGCGGATTGTCCGTCAACCGGCACACAAACTTTCCGTTTCAGACGAGGGAGATACGGCCGGAAGGCGTCGTCGTCATCCTGTCGGTGACCGCGGCCACGGTGCTGGTGGAGTTCGCTGTTCGCGGAGACCGAGCGGCAATGGTACAACTGCAAAACGCCACCACCGGCAGATGAAGGAAACGCAGCCGGCCATCGAAGCGGTCGGCAGTGAGACGTCGCTGTCGGCCGCGAGTGGACAGGCCGGCAGCGTACCGTACACGATGGTCATGATAACGACAGAACGGGCCGTGCCGCTCAAGTGTAAGCGGTACGCACCCGACCTTGGCCGGATACAGCGCCACAATCGACTTCAAGAGTCAAGACTCAAGACCACCGAAACACGCGCACCGTCACCGGTTCGAATCCGGTCATGGGTGGCATCGCTTTCCGGGCAGTTTATGCTGGTGGGCCCACCATGACGTGGCAGAAACCTAAAGGCGCCCATTCGAAATTCTACCAAAACATCCACGAGTTCCAACCAACAGTTCCTCCCCCACAGTTCCACAGGTTAATGGCCCTTGCTGTCGAAGCTCTAATAAAAATAAAATATTGATACCTATTTTTTTTTTATTCGTATGTATTTTTTAAATTTTCGATTTTACGTAACGCGTTATTTATTGCCTTAGAAACGCAACTCAACAATGAAAATTTATTACTTAACTATATTGTTCAACTTTAAGTATAATTTGCGAATTTAAAATATGTTTATACCTAATATATATTTTTTCTTTCTGTTKATTGTGTTTCTATGGCAACAAAAAAAGCATTACGCAAAATTGGTTAGTGTCAGAAACACAAAATTTTTAAAAACACTTAACATGGTTYGAATATTGTAATTATGACGCCAGTAAAGTGCACAAAACGTTTCGGTACGCGTGCCACCATGCCACTACTACATGGGCGGCCTGTCACCACGATTAAAATCGATAATAATRWGTAAATTTACTTCATATTTGGATTGTGAAGTGATAAATTTCATACAAATTACAAAATATGTAAAAAATATAATATAATGAATTTTTCACATTTTATCTGGTTAAATATTTCAAGTTTTGGGTAACACACTTAATTATTTGAGGACATAACTCAATAAATATTTTATTTGTTAAACTTCGYATTAGTTTCTTTTCTGATGAATATTTTAAGCATTTAGAAGCATTCCAGTTCGTTGTGATTGTGTTTAAAATATTCAGATACTAAAAATAATGTTGTAAAATAAAATGTTACAAATGGATGCAAATAAATTGACGGTTATAATTCATAAAAAAAAGTTCACCGGTGGTGAAAATTATCCATCAATTTATGTCTTTATCTTTACACCGCGTCGAAAACAATATTATTTACGAAGATTGTAATGGTCATCGTGATTTGGTCATATTTTGTACACTCAAACRTGTTAAACATGATACTATAATGACTACGTAGTGAACATTATTCGTTATCGAAAAGTTTCGGACGATTACCGCACCGTATTTTCGACATCAGTAATATAATTTATATTTTATTTTCATATTATATCCTGTAACGCATCGGCCTCTCTCTCTCTCTCTCTCTCTCTCTCACACTCTATCTGTGTCACTTTATCTCGTCATTAAAACCGTCACGCGTCCTATTATCGTTGCGGATTTATAATACAATATGCAATACGGGGCACAGGGGTCTCRATAATATTTCACCGTCCCCCGATGATCCGCAGTCGCCAACTCATGCGAAGCTCGAAGGGTTTCTYCTGTTTAACTAACCCTTTTGCATCTATATATACATATATAAATATGTATATTGTATTTTGTATATTGCATTTTTTTGTCGGAAAACGGAGCGCACGTCCGTGATTAATACCGCCGTACCGGGATATGGCGACCACGGACCGCCTTATCTCCAAACCACCGCCGCCGAGATTAAGTCGTCCGACTCGCAGCAGTCGTTCGTCAACGCGTGCATACGCCACCGTGATAATTCGGCACCACCGGTGTTCGGCACACTTCCGGTCTTTTACCGAAGCATTTGCGATTTTCCTTGCACTATATAATGWAATATATTACGTCGCGTATAAGCGATAAYCTTATATATACGGAGCGCAGGGCCACCCTAAATTCGACATTACGTAGCTGATGTTCRTAAAAAAAWAATAATTTCCTGAAAATATCATAATAATATATAATATGAAAGGATATCCCTAATCGGCGTACGTGTACTCGTGAAATATATGTRTAATAACATATTTTTCACTCGCCAAAATGTTGATTAAAATACATATTAATATTATACGAATGTCAATACTATAGGTACCTCTTAACAAACCAATTGCAGTGTTTGAGTCGTTTCGAATATCACAAATAGTTCCTAAATAATAATAACAATACTATAATAGTTAAGTAGGTATGGATATCGGATGATTATTTTGGATCTTATGATTTGCCAAATAATACGAGTACCTATATATATATATATATACACACATATAAAATGTGCACCATAATCGGATATATGAAATACAATAAATGGTAAATTATTCTCACCTATATATATTAGTCTACGAGATAATACCGTCCACGGATTGTTTGTATTAAACCAATGACCGGAACTTTTCGATAACGAATAATATACACTACRTCATTATAGTACCATGTTTAACACGTTTGATCGTACAAAATATGACCAAATCACGATGACCGTTATAATCTTCGTAAATAATATTGTTTTAACGCAGTGTAACGATAAAGTGATGGATAATTTTCACCACCGGCGAACTTTTTTTTATGAATTATAACCGTCCATTTATTTGCATCCATTTGTAACATTTTATTTTACAACATTATTTTTAGTATCCGAATATTTTAAGCAATCACAACGAACTGGAACACTTCTAAATGGTTAAAATATTCATTAGAAACGAAACTAATACGACATTTAACAAATAAAATATTTATCGAGTTTTGTCCTTAAATAATTAAGTGTTACCCAAAACTTGAAATATTTAACCAGTTAAAATGCGAAAAATATCATAGTGCTGATGTGAACAATTTAAATTATAATTATAGAAATAAATAATTCATATAGGTATTGTATGGAGTAAAAATATATTTATAAACAATATACAAAATAACTAGCTAATATATTGTAATTACTAATTTGTATGAAATTTATCACTTCACAGTCTAGATATCAAGAAAATTTACATATTACTATCGATTTTAAGCGTAGTGACAGATCGCTCAAAAATTAAAACATACGTTGTGCACTTTGCTGGCGTTGAAATTACAATATAATAGTATACTATTAATATTATCATTTTGTTTTATACTGTATAAAACAAAATGATAATATTAATAGTATACTATTATATTGTAATTTCACCGCCAGCAAAGTGCACAACGTGTGTAGGTACAGCGCCTGCGCACGARCGGATCAAGAGTAGCTCAAGAATTTTATTTTGTCCATCAGGTAAAATAGTGTTTCGGTGGTCTTGAAGTCRACGGTGGCGCTGTATCCGGCCAACGTCAACAGGTCGGGTGCGTACCGCTTACCGGCCTCGGCGACGGTGTTGGCCGGCTTCTCCAGTGGTTCCTCGGAGAACACCTGGCTGACCTCGGTACACTTGAGCAGCACGGCGCGTTCTGGCGTTATCATGACCATCTTGTACGGTACGCTGCCGGCCTGTCCACTCGCGGCCGACAGCGACGTCTCACTGCCGACCGCTTCGATGGCCGGCTGCGTTTCCTTCATCTGCATCACTATGCGATCGAAAGGCGCGTGCACGTTCCASCGGGACGCGGTGAACTGATGCGTGCCGCTGAGCGCGGCCATGCACCGGTACGTGTGTCGCTCGGCCACCGCGTGCTTGGGCGGCCTGTGGCCGTCCACGTAGTGACGGGCGTCCGGTTCCGGGAACAAGTTGATACCGCCGCGGCGCAACAACCGGACCAGCTTGTCCGGCCGGTGGTACGCGCCGATCATCTCTTGTAATGCCACGGTGGTGGCGTTTTGCAGTTGTACCATTGCCGCTTGGTCTCCGCGAACAGCGAACTCCACCAGCACCGTGGCCGCGGTCACCGACAGGATGACGCCGACGCCTTCCGGCCGTATCTCCCACGACTGAAACGGAAAGTTTGTGTACCGGTTGACGGCCAACCCGAACGAACCCATCCGGCCGGCCCTGAACGAAACCATCTGTTTCTCTTCGTTGAACCTGCGAACAGCAATCGTAACACGTCAGCCGGGTGGTCAGTTGATAAACATGTGTGAAGTGGATGAGTGAAACGTGTAGGTACTTCCAATTAGGACACAATAGAAATTGAATCAATTTTAACATAAATATTAAGTTTTTTGGCCAGTTAAAATGTTTCTGTCTTATTTTTCGGAAGTTTTTCATTGTCGTGGTCATTGAATATTCAAAAAATCATATCTATGATTCATGGATTTTCCTTGTAAAGGATTAATATCGGGTAGAGTACTATGGGTTTTTATCGTTGATGTGGTATATACGGTAAATAAGAATGAATGATAAGATTCCTATCTACCATGATGGTTGACATCGGTATGAAGACAATCGGTATAATTTTGGACGGAATAGTGGTCGTTGAATTCTAAAACTTTCACATATATGAAGGAATATTCTTTGAACTCTTTCAACCACGTGACTTACAACTTTATGAAGGATCCCTAACGGAGGCTACGCCTGAGAAAGGTGAATCCATTTCGCAATATTATGACGTATGATAGAACAGGACCGGAGCCTAAGGCCAGGTGAGTGTGGCCTACGGCACCTACGCACACACTGTATGATCTCAAAACCAAAAATAAAACATACCCAATTAGTTATAATTGAGGTGAGAGTAAAATCCAGGTAAATAAAATGTCTTTGGTGAGTTTAATCATACTATATAGTATATATTATTATTATTTACTACCTTTACTACTTTTTTCATTAGAAATTACATAAATTTAAATTAAGATAAAATAATTAATATTATTCTGTTTTTCAACATAATGCATTTGTGAAATAAATTATAACTGATGTTGAGAAGTCAAAAATATTCAATATACATATAAGTGCTATAATGTGATCAAAATGTATGGAAAAATAAATTAAGAAAGTCTAGACTGGAGATTTCTAGCTCCTACAATAATATTGTTKACGTAATTAACGGGCTATTTGTATGGTAAAAATATATATTTCTTATGCTCTTATTTAGTCAGTTGTTCTCAATAGAGAATAAATAATTCGGTTATGATTATTATTTGGGATAAATACTAAAATTATAAAACTTATAAACTAATTATAAACTTCTTCAATATTACCTGATATCGTATATGTATTCAGTCGTCCAATTTTTTTTTTCTTCATTCCACATAGCTGGTTTTGGATTTTCAAACCAWAGTACATTTTCTGGCAACTTGATATTTATTAGCGCAAGTCTCTTGAGTGCTTCTTGATTTTGTTTTTTTACGTCCGTTTCTTCATCTTCTGATGATGTAGACGAAAAACCCATCGACAACTGTAACGGTTCGTATTTTTCATGATAATCGATGGGCTGCAGAGCCTCTGGTCCGACGATCAACACGCCCACTGACCCGTCTTTGAATTCGACGGGCTGCATTGGAAGTTTCCACATTTCCACGTTAAACGCACCACCAATTATCCAGTATCTAAAAGTTATTTTGTTTGAGACATTTTAAATTGAGACTTTTATACAGGTTGAACTATTGAATTTTGAATGAACAACAATTTAAAGTTAAGAGAACAAAAAAAGATGTGGAAAAATCCCACTGTATTACAAATCATATCTCAATTTAAATAATTTTAACTGATAATAGGTATACATTTKTACCTCCTGGGATTAAGTTCGTTTGGTTTCTCCGAGTATTTCAACGAATTAGAAATATCTTCCATCTGTTCCAGCTGTCTTTTTGTTATTTCCTGGCTTGGAGTTTTTGTAACATCAATATGTATTGATTTCGTGGTTTCATGTTCTRCTGGTTTGGAAGATTCATCTTTTATTTTTTGTTCATTTGGCTGATCTTCCGATTCTTTTTCTATATGATCGTTTTTTGAATGAATATAATGGTCATTTTTTTCAAGTTCATCTAAATACATTTTAAGATCTTCTGGATAACTGTTTCGATCCACTTCCGCAAACGCTTTAAGTTTTTCTTCCATTTTTTCCATCCACAATTGTCTATCTGTTCTTTCCTTTTCTTCATTTAGTTGCTGTGCTATCTGTGTCTTTTGTTTCCAAATGTCCTCTGAGTACTGCCATAAATCTCGGGTATCCATCTCTAATGACTTTGAAACATCAAATTCAGCCATTCTGTCCGTAAAAGGGTCCCAGCGTAGCCATAGAGCCATAACTGCCATGTACTGTTGTGATAGTTGTGGTGGGACATCGACCATGACAAGACATTCAGGGAAATCACATTTTGGCGGAGGTCGGTCATCTGTCAGCAACCTGGGCCTGTGACATACTACATGTAAGCCAACAGAAMATGCTTCACATGAGTTTTTATATGCAACTGTTTCTAAGTCTACAGGATCCATTCTGCGATCGTAATCACTAATCAGATGGTAACAAATTCCGTATATGATATCTACCAGTAACCTTCCTAAATTGTCTCTGGCTTCTCGAAAGCACTGTAGTTTAAATTGACCTARAACCAATAAATTATTGATGATGCACATAATAAATTCCATGAGCTCAATATGATGCGCAAATTTCGTAGTATAGATTGAAATTTAAAAAATATATTTCTCATTTGCAGATTTTTAAATTTTATTGTAAGTTAAAAGTTAAACATTTTGGCCAACACATGAACCTGTTTATTGGGGTTCATTATATTTTCAAAAAAATAATAACATCTAATTATAAGTATATTGTATAAACTATTTGACTCAAGTACCTATTATAGTTTTATTTTTTATAGACGAAATTGGAGTTTAAATTAAAAAAAAAAAATAGTAAAATACAAATTTTGTGATATTGCTACAAATATAGGTTTGCTTGGTACAAATAGTGAATAGCAACATTCAAATATTATAATAAACTTAAATAATCTTGTACGTGGTAATTCCATAGCCACTCATGTATGTTATAGGTATATCTCAAATTATATCTTACTCAAATCCAACGGTAAATCCACGATGTCATCTACAGCGTCCATAATCTTGAATATCTCTAAACATTTTTCCACATAAGAGTTATTATCGTCACTAGCATGACACACTTGTCTCTCAACAAAGAGATACGTATTCAGTTCCTGAACAACCTGTGGGTTAGGAGTACCGTCACATCTTATCCAATGTTGCCAGTCCAATCCTTCACGGTACATTCGGTCGTGTTCATATTTTTTTTGTGACAAATCCGATAACATGGCGCAGTTTGGTTTTAATCGTTCATTTCGAAGCTATAATAATAATATTTAACAATAATAAACCAAAAATTTGTAATAATTACTTACACAATATACAACTAAGTGTACCTAAATAGTAACATTTCTATCAAAATATAATCATTTAAATATTTATGCTGTCGAGTTTAAATTTAAATCATCCAAAGAATGTTTATACGAATATAATAGTCATCATTATGACTCAGAACAACTATTCGAAAAATTAAATAATAATAATAGATTTGCCATCATGAATTACAATAAAATGAGTGATATAGTGTCCAATAACTTACTATCCAATTACCATAGTTTATCACACACACACACTCACACACACAAAATAAAATAAATCAATGTAGTAACACTAATAGTTATAATTTTACTAACCATCAATAAAATAATGTTTTCATCGTTATTTGCTAAAAATAATAATAATTCAATAGTTATGTTTAAAAAATGACATACATTAGTTCAAACTTAGTTGTATAAATAGTTTTTAAATTTCTGTAATATTAACAATGATTTTTACTTAGTTCCAAATGCACAAGAAAAAACAAAAACTTAAATTAAATAATTTGTCAACATCAAAATATCTGGAAAAATGGTTAACTTCAAAATCAACTTTTAAATTAATAAAATATGTAACTATTGTAATTTAGTTTGTTTTGTATAACTTCATTGGGTAAAATAAAATAATTTATCATTTCTTAACTATATATTTTGGGTCATCGGTTAGACATTTAACCTTCTCATATAAGTTTGACATCAGAGTACTTGTGTAATATTAAATAAATTGATTTAGGTTACCCATTATAAGTGTTTGATTAAAAATATA